GGGAAAGAGCATTTTCCCCGAAGTGGGGAAAGAGCAGTTTCCCCAAAGTGAGGTAATTTGCCCCACACCAAACCACACATGCAGAGGCATATGATGTAGCAAAAAGTAGGAGCAAAAATCTGTGCCACTACTATTTTTGCCCTGCAAATGCATGCCCTTGCATTTGGAGATATGCCCTAATAGTCTGTTTTGGGGGTTTAAACACCACCACCTTAACTGCCACATGCTGTGTGCAGTGAATATTTACAAGTACTTACCCAACACCATGGATGACAAGCCCAATAAAGAAGATGACAAAGAGATGATGGGTATACCAAAACACTTCAAAATATGACCTTCGAATAGTTTTAGTGGATGATGTGATGATTAATATAAGGCATAGTGTAATGATGACGCCAGTGAGACCTGCCAAGTATGTGAAAGCAACATATAGGCCACCTACAGGATTCTGTAAAATAAATGAATGCATTGGTCTAAAGAGAGGAAAACATATCAAACTTGTGCTGGGCAGCACCCAACTTTCTTATTTCAAAATCTAAGACACTCTATAAGAAATCTTGAGAATAGTTCATTCTAAGTCATGTGCTTTTGTAAAAGACTACCTTGTTCTGCAACACTGCAATTTGACTGAATCTTACCCTGCATCAACTGCTACCCTGAATGAAATAGGGCTAAATACTGTGGTTTAGCTTCCACTTACTGTAGGATAAGAGCAGATATACAAAACAGTTACTGTGTAGGGCTATGTGAACCTTCGGTCCCTGATTCGATTCGGCAGAGATTTGGCCTGATTTGGCGACTGAATCTCTGAATTCGCATCAAAATCAGAGGACACTTTAATCTCTCCGAATCAAATCGGAACCCTCCAAATTGATTCGGAGAGATTTGGAAAGATTCAGAGATTCGGACATAGACACAGCTTTAAATGTTTTTTCTACATACCTCTAGGTAGCAGGGGCTTGTCAGTGCTGCAGTGCTGGGGAAGATGCAGCATCCCACAGAAGCGCAGGGGGCTCCCCAGCGTGCTCAGCCACAGACCCAGAAGTGGACCAGAAGCACTTGCAGTCCCCTTCTGGGTCTGCTGGAGAGTGTGCAGGGGGGCCCCCATGCCTCCTTGGCTCGGTGACTGCTGTCTCCTGGGTCTGGGGGGGCACCCAGAGTCCCCCTGTGGCTGATCACCAAGCGAAGGAAGGTGCACAGGCCCTGCACTCTCCCCGGCAAACCTGGAAGTGGACCGGAAGTCCACTTCTGAGTTTGCCGTCAAGCACGTGGAGGGTTCCCCTGTGCTCCTGTGGGATGCTCCATGTACCCCAGCATTGCAGCGATCACGAGCCGCGCCTGCTACCTCAAGGTATGTAGAAAATTTTTTTAAAGATGTGTCTATGTCTGAATCAGCATCGAATCTTCAGATCTGGATTGAGCTGAATTGAATCAGGGACAGTGATCTGAATCAACAAATCATAGTTTCATAGTTCGTAGTTTGAATCACTGTCCCTGATTCAGGCCGAATCCGAAGCAAATAGGGCCCGCTTCACATGCCCCTGTTACGGTGGAGGGATAGAGAAAATGTGTTCTAAATGTTTATGCATGGAAATCAGAATCAGACATTCTGAGTTCACTTTCTGTCTCTGTTATGGACTAAGTGCAGAGAGAGGTAGGTAGCTGTGTTGTCTGAAGTCAGACAGAAGGCAGAGTAGATATGCACCTTGTAGACTAACCAAACAAGATATATATATGGAGCATAAGCTTACATGAACTCAAACTCACTTCACCAGATGCTATGAAGGGACTGTAGGAAGCAGAGCTTCTAAATAGAAAGTAGTTGGAATGCAGAGGTTAGGGAATGGGGAGGAGAAAGGAGCTCTTCGAGAAAAATTACTTAAACACACATTTCCATAATTATGCAGATGAAGTTTGTGGCCTGTAACCATATTTAGACACCTAAACCAATACTTTGCTTTTCAGTGGCACTGAGCAGCTGCAGTTAGTAAAATTAGTCTGAATTAATGGCTCCAAAGAATTTGCTAGGGAAAAATGCGAAGTATTATTAAACTTTGTATTAATATAATTAATTATTGCTAGATGTCAAGGAATACATTACATGATGTTTGCTTCTGCACTATAATCTACCAACCAAATGCAAATGACTTCATTTAAGACAAGTTAAAGGTCCAACCCAAATGGCCCTTTAGATTAGCATGCATGAGGCATGCCAGTTTCTATGGCCAACAGCATTCCACATGCATATAGATGTCCTTTACTCCTCAGTCTGAATGGTCAGGCATGCATTTACAGTTGGGTTGACTGGGTAAGCCTTTGGCACAAATTGAAAGCAGGATGCAAATTCATGTCTCTGGAGCCATTAGAAGATTTTTCACCTCTGTTACGATGACACAGTTGTACAGATGAATATTCCTTATGGCACTATTTCACTTGCCTCATATTTTTCCCGAACAAAGTTCAGATAGGTTTGATCTGGCTTGTCTTCAAGTTGAGAAAGAGCATATGACAAATTTCCTTTCTTATTAAGACGTGCCTCCACCAACCATTCTACATTAAATAAGTGTGCGATGGTGTGAATTGCTGAGAATGACAGAGAAAATAACAAGTGTTAAATGAATAGGTACCCAGTCAACATTATTGGATTTTGAACACTAAAGCTTTGTCTACCACAGATTAGAATTTTCATTTTCTCTATCCATGTAAACAACCCTCATTATAAATCAAGAAAAAACTATTTCTACTTAGATATTATGTGTAATGAAACTTGGGAACACCTACCAGTGTGAAGGGCAATCATCCATGCCACCATTTTATGAAAGGTGAGGTTCCTGTCCAACTGCCTCCTGATCCGTGTTGAGCAGCACTTTGGTTTAAAGAATGGAAAAGTATTTGCAAATTATTTCTAGCATCAAGGGTACAGTAACATGTACACATGATAATAGTTTATATCTGATTATTATTAAGAAATTTAGAAAACAAGATAAGCACATTTCCACATGATAAAAGAAAGTATGGAAGTTCTTCCTGTCCCTGGGAGAAGTACTTTGCAGAAAATTGGGTGGATATCTAATATTTTCTGCTAATCAGATAGGGCTGATCATGCTCAACTTCCAGGAATAAAACAAAGAAGGCTAGAGGAGCAGTATGTGTGGGGAAGGGAAACAGAAAAAGGAAGATAAAGATTGCAGGGCAAATTCATTTCTACTATGACTTTCCAACTTTCTTGCCTTCAGCAGAGTTACACCATGGATGACTTAGACCCTTTGTGTTAGTTCATATCTTGATATGTCATAAACATCCACCTTATCAATCAATGTTAAAATATGAGCAGGATGCAATTCTCTTCTTTGATTATCTTCCAGCTGTTACTTAACTTATAGGAGAGATCTTCCTCATATAGCAGTGCTACCCTGTTCACTGTGCTGACTGACAGGAGAGATTGGTCTTCCCATTATTTTGCATTTTAAGATGTAACTTTAAACTGTAAATGTGTCCATGTATAGAAAAACATTACTCTGCCTAACTGTACCCCAACTATGCAAACAGTATTTAAGAACCCTCGAACTTGTTATTTTGAAAGGTCAAATTCTGCAGTAGTGATGACAGTACTGCATGGCCATATTTGAAGGAATACATGTTAATTAAATAAAAGGAAGCAAAATACCTGACATGGAGGATATACAAAGAAAATTCAACCATTCTTTCAATTAAACATTAAGGCTAGGGACAGACATTCAAAAAGCCAGCGCCTGAATTGATTCTATCTTTGCAAGTTATTCTAACCTGCCTAGACTGAACCAATTTGTAAGTGAATAGACATTCCCTCTTGACTGAGGAAATTCAGGCACATGCATGCAGTGGCTCAGGCCAGAAGCTGGGGGGGCACTAGAGCACACCCTTGGCTGCAGGGAAGCTGTGCTGGGGAGTGTGGCCAGCCCCGGCAGCAGCCTCAAGTGAACTGGCCAGGGAGGGGGTTTAATTCCCGTTCCCTGTCCTAATGGCATGAACCCAAACTGAGATCTGCCTGGTGCTTCCCCCTCGCTGCAGCAGGGGCGGTGGCAGGGGTGTGACCAGACACTGGCCAGCATGGCCCCCTGAGGGAACCCAGAGGGGTTTACTCTGCTAGCCCCGACCACCACCTCCACCAATTGCTCCCTGCACAGAGCGAGTGGTGGAATAAGCCCCCTCCCTGTCCCCTCCGCCTGATGCCAGACAGAGGTGGGAAGTAACCCCCCTCCATGCCCCCATCACCTAAGGGGGCCATTCCAGCCAGCCTTTGGCCATGCCCCCACCCCTGCTGCTGGAGCAGCGAGGGGACAGGGATCATGATGGGGGCAGCAGCCCCTGTCTGGTTTCCCAGGAAGCACAAGCCTCTTCCCAGTGGTGGGAGGGCTGTGCTGCGGGTGGGACATTAGGAAATGGGTGCATGGAGGAGGTTTATTTCCCCACTCCCTCTGGTCTCGGGCAGAGTGGATAGAGAAGGAGCTTATTCTGCTGCTCACTCTGCGCAGGGAGTGATTGGTGGAGGCGGCAGTTTCGGGCTGGCAGACACCAGCTGTGGTCCGTCAGAGGGGACAATAAACCCCCTTTGCCTCAGGGAGGGCCATGCCAGGTGGTGTCTCATCCCTGCTGTTGGAGCAGCAGATGGGGCACCAGATGGACCCCAACTTGGGTCTGTGTCTGTGATGGGAACTGGCCACCTTGGCCAGTTCACTTGAGGCTACTGTCAGGGCTGGCTATTCTCCCCTCTTCCGCCACTGGAGCAGTGTGCAGAGAAATGCTTGGCAGGTCCGTGTTGGTGGGAGGGGAATAAACCTTTTTTCTGCCCCCTTCACTTTAGGGGTCTGGCATCTGGCCATGGCCCCGCCCCTGTTCTGGCTAGGGAACAGAGGGGCGGGGCCAGCCCTGCTCCGCTGGAGCAGAGAGCACAGCCCCCCCCCCGGGGCTGCAGGGCATGCTGGGATTTTGGGGGACTCCAGTTTAACTTAAACTAGAAAGGGGTCTGGGACAGAAGTTCCATAAACCGGTCTGACCTCAATCAATTAAGTCTGATACTGCACTGAACCAGGTTTATCTCAGACCAGTTTCGGCCATTTTGAAACTGATTTATGTGCCCTGAACTTATGTGCTGTTACAGGTTTAAACCAATTTCTGCTCACTTAAACTGGTTTATGTGTAACTTCTGTCCCTAGCCTAACTGTTCTTTTGTGCTTGTTAGGAAAAAGTTTCCACCACAGTATTACTGAACTACCATCAGCTGCATAAGTTAGATCATTTTTACTTTGTTTGATAAAATGAAGTCACAATCTTTGCAGCAGCATTTCCACAGCTTACAGATCCTGAATGTGTTTGATTAAAGAAAATGGCAAAAAGAATAAAATTGGTAACATTTCCAAATCACTCCAATAAAGAGCTATCCATATTTTGCATGAGGTAAAAAATACCTTCTCCTTAAGGTATTGCTTTGTTTACAAAAAGTGACTGGAATTAAAGACCTACAGCTACCTTCACAAATGCCTATTTTAAAAGCCTGAGCTCCCTTCAGGGTCCCTTGCTTCTTCATTTATGGGTTGTCCAGCCATATTGAGAGTGAAATTTAATAAGCCCTAGTGATTCAGCAGAAATGAATCTACAACTCCCTGTGGGTTTGGCTGTTTGCTAACTTGGTGTGGTAACAGGTGACTGCTAGTATTCTACTTCAAATAGGAAGTTGTGCAGCAGAACTTGCCCTGTGTCAGCAGAAAAGAAAGACATCTTCTCTGGGACACAAGACAAAAAGCTTCAATTTTCTCAGCTGTGGGATTTCTCCCATCTTCTTAGCATATAACATTAATATAACATTAGGAAATTGCCTGCAAAATGAGAAATCAGAGTCCTATAATTCAAGAAGTAAGCAGTTTAGTACTAGAAATAGAAGGTCCCACATAAAATCCCGCATAAAATCTAATCTCTCTCTCCTGGGAACCAGTTTTGAGATTTCCACTGATTTCCCTAACACTAGAAGTTGGTTTCTAGAGATGGGGGAAAGGGAGCAGAGGGAGCTCATTCTGGGGGTTGCCCAGCCAGTGCTGGAGGATGGGGTGGGTGAATTGTAGCCCCCTTGAGGTAGGGGCTCCAAACCATCTGCTTTCCCACCCCAGCACAGCTGGGAAGCCTCCCACCCCCCAAGTACTCCCGGGGCAAGGGGAAGGACTTTCAGTGGCAAAGGTCAAGGGTTAGGGGAAGGACTTCCAGATGGCAGGACTTCAAGATGGCAACCAGGGGGCGGGGCACCTGTCAAGGGGAGGGGCTACCCTTGTGGTGCTCAACAGCTCACCAAATGTTATTAAGAGGCCCTCCAGATGAAATAATTGCCCACCCCTGAGATAACATCTGTTGGCTTGGGAGGATTAGTACAACTAATGGTGCTTTCTGTGAAGCACCATAAGTTAAACTGGGGAGCTGCATTTCTGTCTGTGCTCTTATTGCTCAGTTTTATATATGGGGATGCATCTCAGTCTCCTTTTCTTTTGTACAATTGCAGTAACAAAGTGGGAATAGAACAAGCCTGAGAATCTAGCTCCATGAGCCCAATTTTTACCCTTTCATGGACTGGTTGTTATCCTTCTTCATGTTTTGTAACAGGTATTGAGCACAAGAACAGTTTTGGCAGAGTTGGAAATAGAACCTAGACATATGGAATTTCAGCTAGTTAGCAACATTGCCTTTCATAATGGAGTTGCCAGATGAAAATACTTGCTTATGTTGCCATTATCCACTGGATCATACTTTCCTTTCAGAGCCATCCATAATCTTAGGCATCTTGAAATCCAGCATTCTGCTGCTGTCTGGCAAATACTGTATTTATCCAAAGCCAAGACTACTCAAAATGTGTTATAATTTTGCATATATAGAATCAAATTACTGGAGGGTCACCTTCAATTTGTCTTCCCCACTCCTCACTACAGTGGGGAAAGCAGTGGCAAGGGACAGGTGGTAGGGAGGCAAGTGGTGGGAGAGGTGGTGGTAGGAAGAGACAGGCAGGGGGAAGGTCAAGAAGCCTGACCCCTATCCCTTGTCCCACACTGCTCCCTGCTGCCTGTCCCACAAGCTACTTGCCCCCCTGCTGCCTGCCTGCCCGTATCTGCCCCCACATCTCCCTGCTACTTGCCACTCCCTCATACCTGTATCCCCTGACAACCTCTGCCCTCCTTCTCAGTGCCTGCTCCCCTGCCTGACCTCCCCATTTTTTCTGCCCCTCCTGCCACTTCTGGTCTCCCACCATCTCCCCACCTCATCTCCTTCCCGCTCCCCTTCCCTCCAGCTCCAGTAGGCTCCAGCCCAATGCAGCCTAGGGCATGGATCATGTGCTTGCTCCAGCTCCAGTCCAGCCTAGTAACTGTGGTGGAGGACGCAGCTCTGGCCCAGGCCCCAGGGCCTGGTTGGAGCTGCCACTGCTGCATCAGCTGCTGCCTTGCCAAGCTAGGCCCAGAGCAAGCACATGCTCTATGCCTTAGGCTGCAACAGGGTTAGAACCTGCTGGAACCAGGAAATAAGCAATGGGTGGGGTGAACAAGAGGCAAGGGGTAGAAATTGTGGGTGGGCATGGCGGAAATAGTGGGGATGAGGGCAGGCAGTAGCTATGGCTCTAGCCCCAAGCCAAAGCCAGACTCATAACTGGAGCTGGATCCACCACCTGCCTCCCCAATGGCTTGTACTCAAATCCAAGTTGGGGGGCTTTTTTCCATGTTAAATTGGGCAGGAAAAACCTTGTCTTGGTTTCAAGTAAATATGATAGTTTTATTGCCCACTGTCCTGATGTGCACTAGCTTCTAGTAGTTGTCCAATGTGAAGAATAACCAACTTATGAAGAATATCCAACTTCATGGATGACAGATACATTAATAGCTATTAAACAGAACTGTCAGGGATGTATTCACCAATGATGGTGGATGCCAGGGATGGTATGATGGGATAGATCACTCTAAACATATCCTGTTTTTATGCTGTCCCTCTAAGGCATCCACTACTGCCACTGTTGGAGACAGGCCTATTTGTTGTGCTAAGTATCAGTGGGCTAGGCCCACCGAGAAAACTGCAAGCTTCCCTCAGCCAGGGAGGCCACATAAAACACAAAAGCAGATTCTGAGGGACAACAAAAGTGAAAACAGAGATGAGAATGCAGGTCAAAGGTTAATAATGAGTGCTCCAAGGGGGGATACTGAGCAGAGTACACTGACCAGTGCCCACTGACCCCTTTTGGAGGCAAGAAAGTGGGCAAGATACATGGACAATTTGTCTGACTCAATATGGCACTTAGTAGGTACATCTACATGTGCAGTTAGCATATAGCAATAAACTCTGGTGCAGTTTGCTCCAGAGTTTATTTATCCCAGGCATAGCATTTACATGTGTGCCTGGGACCACAGCATTGAGCTGGATCAGAGCAGCCCCAGCTGGCAGGAGATCCAGGGGCTCAGCCTGCCAGCCCAGGGCTGCTCTACTCCAGTTCAATGTGCTGCAGAGGGGCTGACTGGGGCATGAGGGTACTACAGTGCAGGGCTAGCCAGCAGGCAGTCCACACTGTAGTACCCTTGTGCCCCATTCCCATCCCTGGTCGCCATCTACACATGCATTTTGGCGTGCATAACTACTCCGCTGTAGGATAGTATTTGTCCCAGACAGTACTATCTTCCAATGGAGTTAATTAATTTACTATGCCCTAATGTAGGCACACATGTAGACTGTGATGCTTTACAGTGGAGCTAATTAGTCAGGTCTGCAGAAAAGTGCACATGTAAATGTTCTTAACTACTGTTACTGTTACCACTACTAACATAACCAACAGTTGCTCCTTTAGCCTAAGTGAGTTGTAAAGGTCAAGCATTCAAAAATAGCATTCAAAACCATGCCAGGATAAAGTATCCTTATGTAACCTTAACTTTGCTTCTATATGCATCATGCTAGTTGTTAATGACTTGATTTTATACTCCAGTTTTCATAGGAACCCAATTAAATTGTGGCATTATGGGGTATACAAATAATCCAGCATTAAACTCTACAAAGGGGGGGATGCATAACATTAGAGTAAAATAGTATCTGAGATAAGAAGGCCCAGTGTGATCTAACCTCACATGTTTTTAATGACTGATGATGTTCAGTTTGTGGGAAGAATGTTAGAGATTATACAGTTCTTGCAATTCTCAGCTGTGGTTTTCTTCCCATATTTTCTCCATATATAAATATTATGTAATATTAAGAAATTATCTACAAAAGGAGAAGTAAAAATCTCAGAGTTAATGGTTTCTTAAACAGTGACAGTTATATGGAGAATACAGAACATATTATATGTTAGGCCTAGATTTTTTTCTGGAAGATTCATTCTTATGCATCCATTCTTATTCTTAGTTTCTAGCTTTGTACATCAAACTGGCAAGATTAAAAGCAATAGTTTGAGCCCTGCAAAGCATAACAAGACATTTATTCAGATCTGTCAAGTCAGATGCAAGATTCTGCAAGCAATGCCTCTGTTGCTCGAGTCCTGCATTTCTCGATAATTAAACTAACTGCTGTGACAAACTTGTTCTGCATTTCATAGGTGTTGTGTGACATGGATGTATATCATAGTTCAGGATGAGTACAATTTACCCTTCTGCCATTTGATTCAAGCATCAGGCAAATACAAGCAGGCCAGCCATCTCTCTGCATACGGCAGGTCCATCTGGGAGGTGATTAGGTGCTCCTTATAAACAACTGACAGAACATCTGTAGGGAGGAGGCTGATTGCTACAATAGATGCTAAGGAGAGGTGTGGTGGGCTGTAGGGGCCAGGGACTCCAGCTAAGGCTGGTCAGGAGGACTGGGCCAGCTGAGGGAGATAATTAGTGGCCACAGGAAGTCAAAAGGCTCCAGGGAGAGAAAGCTAGAGACAGAGGGTTGCTTGTTTAGTAACTGCAATACTTGGGTAGGGATTCTCATAGTCTGGGACAAGACCCAGGGGCTGCAAGACTAGAGGCAGCAGCAGCACCATGCCAGGGAAATAGTCACAGACTGTCTGAGAAGAAGGACTGTGGTGCAGAGAGAGCAGCAGGAAGCCAGAGGCACCTTCTCAGGTATTGTCAGGACTGTGACTGAGCCCTGTATGGACTATGTTATGGTACTGAGTGTTGACTTGTGTCTGGGATGTTTCTGAGAGGTAAGTGTAGCCAAGAAAATAAAGGACTGTAAAGGCAAAGACTGTTTGTCTGAACTAAGCAAAAATCTCTGAACCTGCTACAAGAAGTATGAAAAGAAATGAGCTGCTGAGAAGGCAGATGGATTGGCTGCTTAAATGTTATGCTGAGGAATAAAACTATGCCTGAACAAGGCTTGGGCCCAGCAGTGAAAGCTTTGTGGGACAGGGAGCAGGCTAACAGCACTGCAGGCAGGAAGCTGATTATAGCCCTATGTTGAAAAAAATCCTGCTTCTTGGAGGTTCAGAGAAACCCAATAAGTCTTAGTTGACTTCAACCATTGGGGTGGCGCATAAAACAGAGAAGGTACCTCTAAGACAGGAAATGACAGATGGCTTTACAGATCAAGAGCAGCCCTTTGATCTGGAGCTGCTATTCATGTGTGTGTTGAGGATGGGAAGAAGAACGCAATCACTTAGATGAAAATGACATAAATATGGGAATGCACTTGCTTCTGTGTTTTTTCTGTCCATGAGTTATGGCAGGTAGTAGCACTAGTTTTCTAGTTCCTGTCTTTGAATGAGAATAAGATGATTGACTACAATTCAGTGGTGATTTGGGGAACTTAAGTTGGGTATTATCTGTATAACGGCTAGGCAGGCTACTATCTCGCATGTTATTTTGAAAGCGTTTCTTTCTCTTACCGCACTTGATCCTCTGAGGAAAGAGAGCAAGTTTCGACATACTGGCAGCAGAATTAGCATACAGTTGAAATTCAGGCAAGCTGCAGGTGCTCTTGCCAGTGCTAAAGCATGCTGTAATGTAATATAGGACAATAAGTTAGGGTATCATAGAGGGGACTAATCTGTATGAGTCTCACAGACATGTTTCACTAGCTTTTCATTGGAGGAAATGAAAATAAGGATTTCACTAACATCATTTAGATTTCATAAGAGTGCCAATGGAAACAATAGAAAACGGAACCAAAATTTCCTCCAATAAGACCTTCCTATTTTTCAGTTCTTAATAACTGTACATAATTGCTTTATAACAAGCTACCTATTAAGTCTGCTAATGGCAGATATCACCAGGTAGTAAAGTTCCATGTCCAATGACTATAAGGGTATATATAGACATTTGTGGAGGTTAGATCAAGTTAAAAATGGCCACCCAATGCAAGGTTGGGGGGGGGGCTAGTGGAGGGTTGGGAGGAGGGGCAGCCAGGTTCTGCAGTGGGGTTTGCAGGGTCCAGGAGGGTATTACAGGAGCAATTATAGTTGGGGGGGGAATGAGGGGCTATCTTCACCCCTCCTGGGGACCAGGGGAGGACACGTTTAACTTCCTGATCTCCCCATCCCACCCCGCAAGCAAACCATCTCTGCCCACCCCAACCCCAATGTACTTCCTTGGCTTCCAGCACCAGTGACTACTGATTAAACTGGCACCAGGTGCAGCTTGTGAGATGGAGGTTGGCTGGTCCATGGAGGGGGAGATTATTTGTCTGGGGATGGGGCAAAGGGCCAGGAGGCTAAAAATGCCCCCTGCTTCATCATTAGGATCTCTGGTTTTCTGATGCAAGAAAATCCCAAATTTTCTGATGTAAAAACAAACCCCAAATCCATGTTTTTTTCCATGCTTTAAAATAAAAGGACAGAGATGCTCTCACTTGCTCTTATGTTTCATTTTAATCACAGAAATGTGAATTTAGGGTTTTGTGTTTTTTCTTGTTTGTTTGTTTGTTTGTTTGTTTGTTTGTTTGTTTGTTTGTTGTTTGTTTGTTTTACATCAGAAATCTTGGGATTTTTTTTATCAGAGAACCAGGATCCCTGTTCATCATACTTACTGTAATGAGAAAGTTGGAACCTTTGGAAACTCTAGTAGGTCATAGCGCCCTGCCCCGGGACAATCCAATTATGGCTCACAACCCATGGTCTTCCATATATTTTTAATATAGTCATGAACGGCAAATGCCTTTCTAGGCAAATTGGTATGTAAATTATTTAATTTGGGACAATGAATAATGTCATCATGAAAGAACAACTGAAGCAATCATTCCAGGGCAATATTTTACTCTCTCTCTGCTTAAATAAGTGGTTAACATCTGTGTTGTGCTTCTTAATTAAAAGGAGCATAATTCCCACTTGAAGATGTCTTAAGAATGGGAGATATCTCCTGGTTTTCTGTATTGTAGAGCTATGTATTGTTATACATGATTTTGGAACTACTAACTTACATTTCAGGCATGATGCTATTAGGGTCAAACGAAACTGAGTTAAATATAGGAAGGCCATCTTAAGCATGTGTCCATTCAACATATGCCAAGCTAATGCATGAATTGGACTTACCTTAAGAAGTACCCTTGTGTAGATGTATTCCTTTCCAACATCATACACAAGGTAATACCACCAAAAGAGAAAGATATTTAACCCCAGCCACACAACCTGAATGAGAAAAACACATTATGCAGTCAAACAATATGCTTCAATCAAACAATCTGGGTTTGGTAAAAGAATAATAGGGTGAAAGTCTATGACCTGTAGCATAGAGGAGGCTGGACCAGATGAGCTAATAGTCTCTTTTCTTCTTAACTTATGAATCTTCATCCCTTCTGACTACTCTAACTTCATGGAGATTGACTTTTCTCTGTGGAGAGTAAGGGTTGATAGGCTTTTGGTGTTTTTGGGGTGCGGGGAGTTTGTTTTGTTTACTAAAGGAGATCTTTTTATCTGCTCTTTCATTCTATAATGTTTTCCTCACTCCCAGCTTTCTACCCTCTCTACTGAATCCCCTCTTCCCTCCTCAAGCATGTGGAGTATTCCTCTGGTTACTGTTAAGATAAGGGTGCTAAATACTTCCTTAAGTGTAACTGCCCTATACAGCATTGGCCTGTACTGGAAGGAAGGCTAGATCTGCTAAAGGGTGTGGGATTAGTTTGCTCCGAGAGATGGAGAAAATAAGCCACAATCCTACAGCAGCTAATTGAGTCATCTTTTGCCTAAATGCATAGGTATAGCTATGTGATTGTGCAAGATCCATGTGACACTGGGCCCATGCGCATCTACTTTTGTTGGTGCCTGTTATTAACGGCTAGAATATCATTTCAGTTGCACATCTTTGGTCAGATCCACATTTGTGGGTTGTGCCAAAAACAAGGGTGTGGTGGAGGGTTCCTAGCCATCCTGCAGCAGCCCTCCCATTGCAACCCAATTGCACTGAATCAGTACATTTCCCTTAGCTTGACGCTATTTGCTTTTGGACTTCAAGCCACACAGTGAAATGGCTCTAAACTGTGGACAGTTTGCACCATGCTGCACCAGGCTAATGGTGCACAAACATGGTAGAGCAGGGAGATTGGGGTGGGTGGGTAAACTTTAAATATTATGCTTACAATCAAAGTTGACAAACTGTAGTACCAGCTTCCTTTTATACCTAACCTTTGGCTTCAGGGGTAACTCCTGCAGTGTTCCTTGGCCCACCATTGTGGCTGTAAAGGAGTTTGCAGTTAGCCTAGGCCTTAAATGCTCCATGAAAAAAGTTTTTAGAAAAATTCTTAATGTTGCATTAGGAACTTGATGCCCAGCTAATGTATTATAGCAGTAGCTGTGAATAAAGCAGAACATTTTTCCATTCAAACCCTCTAGCAAAAGAGTTCCCTTTACGACTTCTCTTCATCTTCCCTTACTACTTTCTATATTTCAAATAACTCTTTGAAAACAATTTTTCTTACTTTAGGGGAAATAATATACTTTATTAAAATTCAGGTAATACTGAGTTCTTGTACAGAGAACATTTATAATCACCTCTTTCCTATTGGTGTATTTGTGTCGGCTTCAACAAAATCTGACAAGTCGTTAACTTAGTTATACATCTTGTTAATACAAAACTAAATACCTAATGGCTTCCTAGAGCAAGCACATGCATTTGGGGGGGGGGGCGCAGGGGAATCCAAATACAAACCATTTCTCCCTATATGCCAGACTCCATTCCTCTACCCACAAGTGACTTTCCAACCACTTTTGTAACCTACCTGGAGCTAAAGGAACATACTGGCTAGTATAACACCACGTTACTTGCACTTTGCATAAAGCTGCCGTGAAAGTGAACAGTGCATCTCTATACAGGATCCTGGAATCTGCAACGCTGACCCACATAATCTTGTCACTGAGCACTGTACATCGTGATCTAGTTCAGCTTTATTAGCATTTGCTTCTCAAAAGCCTTTTACTGTACCATCATTTGCTGGGTTGGCTTTTTAAAAAATGTATACAGTTTATATCAAAATTAAATGTTGCTTGCTCTCTTAATTTCAGACATTTTATATTTATATTACATTCATATTTATAGCAAGTTAAATGAGACTTGGCACAAAGGATACAAGTCAAGTCCCTTGTTGGGTTTTGTTTTTTTGTTTTGTTTTTTTTTGTGGTTTCCCCCCCCCCCCAACAGGACTAGGATTTCACCCAGAATCTCTTAGTAACCGCTCTCTTCAGGTGCTATATAACACCCTTTGTCACAGGATCATATATGAAATAACATCAAGTAATTGGCATGTGTGATCAGAAATAAACTGCAAGAAAGGATTGTACTTACAATAACAAAAATGGAGAGTCCTTCATTCTCCACCCAGTTGCCCATGGTTGCCTGAACAGAGAGTGTACTGGCTTACTGCTGAGGAAATATCTGTATCTTCTCACAGAAGGAAGTGAGAACAGAAGCCTGGCTGCAACTATTTCCTTCGTCATTCACTTAGAATAGAGTTAAATTGAAACCACTGTATGGTTCAGTGATTTACTATATTTTCTTCTGAAGCCTTGACACCTCAATTAAGTCTCCTCCTAATACAATACTGTTTTTTATTCTAAAGAGATCATGGGAGGGTTTTTCCACTGCAAGACATTGCTACCTTTATAGACTTCAACACACCCATTCTAGAACAATGAGAAACATCTTCATTTGTTCATCACTGCATCCTGGTGCTCATTCCTCACCTCCTAACTAATCATTCTTAGAACTTCTCATTGCCCTGTACCCCAGGACAGCCTTCAGAGGCTTACCTAACATTTCCTTCCTTGCAAGGCATGCATCGGCATCTCTGTTCTTCTCACCAGCTCACAGCTCGAATCCTCAGCCAATGCTGTAGACATGTTCCCCTCCCTGCCAGTTAGTCTGAAAAGATTTCCGGACCTTGTCATAGCTGGCATGTTTCATACTGTCCCAGCTCCTCAAGCTACTTGAGTATGTAAGGGTCTCAATGTCCTTCTCACTCCAAATGTTTTTTCTCACCAGAAGACAACCCAAGAGGCGCTGAACTCCTCCAGTACTACAGAGTCAATACTGAATGAACTTATGATCCACAACGTTTCCAGGAAGAACAGTGAAACATACATTTGGTTGCAGTTGTTTTTAAATGATCCCTTATCAGATGTATATGGACTGAAGGGTCCTTATCTGGTACAAATTAGCATTAGAAAAAAAGGGGCTGGTGGTGAGGTCAAAGATGAAAAAAGGTTAAGAGGGTGTGGTGTCTAACCCAACAAACTTATACCTGTGGAGACGAGGAAAAAAGAAACATTTAGACTATTTGATTTTTTTTTTTTTTTTTTTTTTTCTCCTTTCTTCTCTACCTGGAAGTGGTCTCTGAAGTATCAAAGGTTCTAATAGAAAAAGAAACTGAACAACTGAAAAAATATTAGCCACTTCAATAAGCCAGTGCAAAGATCTTCTCTTCAGAAGGTCTGACAACCTTCTATCATGCCTTTAGCCTGCAACAAGTGACTGCTCAGCAGAATATGCTGTGACTCCACCTCCACCTCCATGAGGTATATCTCTCACACAGCACACCCCCTTAATTGCAAATTCATCTGGAAGCAGAAGAGGTAAATGAATTTCAGTTAGTCTATACAAAAAGCAGACATCTCGGCCACTCCTGCATATGCCATGATCCATGAGTGAAAGTCTAGCTCCATGCAGGACAGTGAGAGTTCAGGCACTGACTTCAGTGAGAACAGGGTTTTACCTTTATGGTAGGTCACAGGAGAGAACTGGTGTGTGAAGGTACCATAAAACTGCTCCTCTCACAGCCTTTGGCCTATTTCCTGGTCCTTTCCTACTCATTACAGTTGCTGAACAAGTGAAAATTCCCCCCATAAGGTGTTGTCTGTGTCTTGAATTCCTTGAACTTGCTTTTGTTAAAAATATAATAAAACAATTGTGCCCATAAGTATTTTTCTTGTAAGTGCCAGCTGTGTATTAATATTTATAATGTAGGAGTGTGTGAAATAAAAAATCATTTTAAAAAAAAAAAAAAAAAAAAAAAGCCCTCTCACTTGTATGCAGGCTCTGAAATTTCCTGTTTTTATAATTTTTTTGCAAAATAGCTCATTAGAATAGGAGAGACTTAAGCACAAAATTTGCATATTCCTGCAGCAACAGCTTTCACTATATACAGATCTTCTTTTAGGGAAACATATATACAGAAATGTTCAGGGTCAAAGAGTTTGATTCTTCTTGCCATTAGTTCTCACATATCTAATATAAACTCATTCATCCTGTCTGCCAGCATAATTATCTAGCAAGAGCTCAGTAAACAGACTGGATTCACACATTTAGCATCTGGATAAATTTAAGTCATAATCCTATATTTCTGAGAAGACTTGTGAGCAGTAAACATACTGACCTGCTGGGTGACAGAACAAGGAAATTCCTATTTATCTCTTTTGCAAGGTTCAAACCACAGAAAACCACTTATTCCTCAGGTGTACTTTTCTGTCCACACATTTCCCCTTTAATTATCTTGTACCACTGTGAGGAAGGAAGTGACCTGTTACCAAAAACAGGTACAGTTTGGTCTCTTGAGGGACAAGACTATGGCCTGCGTACAGTCAGGGCTTCTTTGCAAGCTTAGACACATAATTCAGGGACAGCTGCAATTCCATTACTAATTACCCTGGTTGTACACCAAATTAAGATACAGTCACATATCCCAATGATCCTCCATTCCCTCTTGGGTGAGGTAAGGTATTATTACCACCCAAGTCAGGCAAAAGAGGCAAGAGAGAAGCCTATATATAATCCAAGGTTTTAGTGATTACTCCCAAAGCATAAGAATAAGTGCTTGTCTCTGCTTTTCTAGTTACCTGCAACAGCATAATATGGATTCTCACCTAGATCAAGTGAGGAAGAAGCTAGCTTACAGGCTGGCTTGACTTTACAAAGGTCTTCCCAAAGCTTCTTCCTGTTTACACCCAATACTTATATGTGGGTTATTTAAAAAAAAATATTCTGATTGGTTTTGTTCAAATTTGTTTGTTTCACTGAAACTTTGGGAGCTGGACTGAACCCATTTTCCTGTGGACTTGGAAAATGCCAAGTAGCTGGGGTCTATGTCCTTGAGAAAAGAACTCCCTGCCAGAACTGGATTTTTATCTCTTTCCTTCACTATCTGGTAATGCGATTTGCCATGTTTTGCTTCTTTTACTTTGCTGAATAGATCAGTTATACTATATAACAGATTAACAAAACAATAATTGGGGGTCGGACTCAATGATCTATTGAGGTCCCTTCCGACCCTAACATCTATGAATCTATGAATTGCTACCTTTAGCTCCTTTTATACCCCTATCCAAAATGCAGTTATTCATTCTTGGTCTAGTCTAATATTAAAGGCTTGATAAACAGCTTTTGCTTTCCCAGGTTATTTTTTGTGAGTGAAATGGAAGCTTATTGGTTGTTGATTATATACCAGCTGAAGTATATATCATTCATAACTCAGGCTTTTGCTAGGTCCATAATCTGCACTAGCTAGTGTAGTGACTGTAGTTTGTACAGAGTCACTGTACTGACTGTGACAAAGTACAGAGAGACAGTCAAAAAGCCTGAGGATGAATCAATTCAATCTTCACAGGTTAGTCTAAACTGGGTAGATCAAAGCAATAAGCAAGTGAACAGACATTCAGTTTTGGCTTCAGAAATGCAGCCATGTGTCTCCTGTGGCCCAGGCCAGAAGCCAGGGAGAGACCTCCCTGCTTAGCTGGAGCAGACAGCTTAGGCCAGGGGTGGGCAAAATGGCGATCTGGCTGGTAGCCGGACTCCCTTTCCCACCAGCCCCTGCCTGCATGGCTTGTGCAGCCCCTGCCTCCATGGCAACCCCAGCTGCACCTGTGCGGGAAAGCAGGGGCGACACGGAGGGGGTGCATGTGGGTGTATGTGCACCCCCTGCAAAAAGGCGCCGCCGACAGCTCAAGGCTGGGGCTGCCGTGAAGACCAGTCTCAGCCATGCCAGCAGCGCACATGGCAGAGCAGCGCAGGGGGCTGCTCCAGAGCTGCTGGGAACTTGGGATGGCGTAGCTTGGTCCGGAGTCAGGGCAGAGCCACGATCTGTAGCCTGCATGCTCCGGGCAGGGGTGCACAAGAGGGGATCGTGGCTCCCTGCAGTGGTGACACCCTGGTCTGGAATAGGGGCAGAGCCACGATCTGTAGCCTGCATGCTCCGGGCAGGGGTGCACAAGAGGGGATCGTGGCTCCCTGCAGTGGTGACACCCTGGTCTGGAATAGGGGCAGAGCCACGATCTGTAGCCTGCATGCTCTGGGCGGGGGCCCGCAAGCCGGGGATCGTGGCTCTGCCCCTATTCCAGACCAGGGTGTCACCACTGCAGGGAGCCACGATCCCCTCTTGTGCACCCCTGCCCGGAGCATGCAGGCTACAGATCGCAGCTCTACAGTTAAGTCTACTACATCCATCCAGGTTTATCTTAAACCAGTTTCAGCCATTTTGAAAGCAGTCTATATGAATTTGTGTTACAGATTTCAGCTGGTTTCTGATCACTTTTATACCAGTTTGTCATTTCTGTCCCTAGCCCATGTCTACAGCCTACAGAGCAGGCAAGAGCCTCGAGACTTCTTTCTTTGCATTTCAGAGATGTTACTTGTGACTGAATCGTCCTTGTATTCATAGGCAGGATCTGTTAATGCTTGTTCTGGAACAGTACAGTTGTGTTCTCCTTGCTGTGCATTGCATCCAGGCCTGCATTTATTCATAGTCTGAAACCATTTTGTCCTGATGGGATGAAACCTCAGCAGAACGCACTATGGCGGGCAATCTTCACCCTGAGAAAACATCTTGAGGGGAAAAAGCAGGCTAACTCTTCCTGCCCATAACTCCCTGCCCCTCCGTCCCTTCCCCCCCACCCAACTTTTGAACCGAAGGGCTGTCCCCAAAGCAGTATTGTTAAACTTTATTTCTAAATCTCAAAACAAGTTTAATTCTAATACAAATAACTTGCCGTGAAGATAGATAGAATATCAGCTTTAGCATACATTGCCTGTGAAAAATCTCAGCTGTGAGATTTTAATAAAGGAGGTGCACCAGCATTAGATTAGACTAAGAAAGGGCAAAGAGAAAGTCCCTGGGGCAAAGGGGCAGGAGGTAAGAAAAGATAAGTTGCTTGCTTATAGATTTCAGGAATTAAGAATTAAAAAAGGCAACATTGTCTGGTAAAATGGTAGATCTACATGACAGATTAAGCAGGCAAAATTTGGTGAGCTACCTCTCCAGCTTGTTCACCACTACATCCTTCTAGCTAACCGTGACTTTCTGGAAGAAGTCAGGGTAGAGAACTGTGCAAGAATTTCTTTCTGGCAAGGGAGATTCAGAAGAGTATAGGAGGGAAATAAAGGGTAGTGGAGAGTTGCAACTAAAGGCAAAGGAACATAAGGAAACTCTGCAGCAAGTGTGCTGAGTGAGGAGACAACACCACCTGATGGGCAGTAGTAAGCACAGGAAGAGCATTTAGCAGCTGATCAAGTCTGTTCTTTGAAATGTAACTTGGTTAAAAACACTAGTCTGGAGGAGATTGATTCCTATCTACCCAGGAAATTTCTACTACGTTACAGGCCTCCACAGCCTCTCCTTTCTCCATTAGATCCAGTAGAATGTTCTCCTATTCCCTTGCAAAACCCTCCTCCGCTGATCCCATCCTACCACTCACCTTTTACTCAAGACAGTCAGCCCACTCTGCTAGGCTTCATCATTCGCTTTATTTTTTAAAAGAAATACCTTTATGTTCTCCTTGCCCCCTTCATGCTCCCTCCACCCCACCGCACCTCCAAGGCTCCTTGTGTTTAGGAAGTACTTCCCAGAAACATTTACAAGGTTGCCACG